CACTATTTTTTTTTTTTAATAAGGAAAGGAGATGAAATCCTATTTTCTTTTTATTTATTAAAGCTTAGTGGGGGGAAGGGGAGGATGGAGGCAATTAATTTTCTAAACTTTTTCATCATAGTCCTTGGGTTTCAGATGAGATTGGGCGCATTCAGGGTGGTATGCTACAGACATGGTCCTTGGATTTCAGTAAATTTTTTTCTTGAGTTCAGCTTCTCATGGAAAGATTCAAGGTGTTTACTGACAAACACAGCTTTAGTTTTATGTTTCTCTGTTCCTGAGTTATGTGGTTTTCCTCCTCTTGGCTTGACTTATACTTGACAGCAAGGATTCCAGTATGGCATGTGCCCACTAGAAGAGAAGGGTGCCCGGAAGTGGGTGAGCCACAAGCAGCAGTAAGAGAGATAAAAGACTGTTAACAGTACAGAGGACATGGAAAAGAGACAGGGAGAAAATATTTGTATATCACATTTCTGATCTTCAGAATATGCATACAAAGAACTTTCACAACATCCTAATAAGAAAACAACCCAATTTTTAAAATGGTCTAAGATTTATATAGACATTTCATCAAAAAACACATGAAAAGATGGTCAACATCATTAATCATTAGGGAAATTCAAATAAAAACCACAATGAGATACTATTTTACACCTACTGGAAATGGCTATAAATTAGATAATAACAAGTTTTGCCATGGATATGGAGAAACAGGAACCTCATAAATCGCTGGTGGAAATTTAAAATGATATGGCCACTCTACAGTTTGGTATTTTCTTAAAAAGTTAAACCTTGCCCAGATGGTGTGGCTCAGTGGATGAACCAGGAGGTCATGGTTCGATTTCTGGTCAGGGCACATGTCTGGGTTGTGGGCTTAATCCCCAGTAGGGGACATGCAGGAGGCAGTCAATCAATGATTCTCTCTCATAATTTATGTTTCTATATCTTTCTCTCCCTTCCTCTCTCTGAAATTAATAAAAGCATTTTTTTTAAAGTTAAACCTTAATTTGTCATATGACCAAGCAATTTCACTCATATGTACCTACCCAACAGAAAGGAAAATATATGTCTATGAAAAGACTCGTTTACAAATGTTTACAGTAGTATTACTTGTAATAACTAAAAGTGGAATTAACTCAAATGTCAATTGATGAATGGATAAACAAAATGCATTCTAGTCATACAGTAGGATACTACTTAGCAATAAAAAGGAATGAAACACCAGCTATAATATGCATGAATCTCAAAAAAATTTTGTAAGGGAAAGAAGCCAGATCAAAAGGTTATATACCATTTAAGTAGAATGTCCAGAAAAAGCAAATTTATAGAGGTACAAAGTAGGTTGGCATTTGTAGGAGCTGCAAATGGTAGCAGAGGTTACTGTAAGGTTTTGAAAGATCTTACTTGGGTGATAGGAACTGAGTTATGGGGTGATGGTTTCACAACTCTATAAATTTACTGAAATCATTGAATCATATACTTAAAATGGGCGGATATTATGGTATGTAAACTATCCTACATAATAAAAGGCTAATATGCAAATCGACCCACTGAACAAACGGACAGCCTGTCGCTATGATGTGTACTGCCACCAGGGGGCAGACGCTTAACACAGGAGCTGCCCCCTGGTGGTCAGTGCACTCACACAGGGGGGCTCAGCCAGAAGCCCTGAGCTGGGCTCACGGCTGGCAAGCACAGTGGAAGTGGCAGGAGCCTCTCCCACCTCTGCAGCAGCACTAAGGATGTCTGACTGACGGCTTAGGTCAGACATCCCCCAAGGGCTCCAGGACTGGGAGAGGGGGCAGCCCAGGCTGAGGGATGCCCTCCCTCCCCACCCCCCACCCCTGCCGAGTGCACATATTTCGTGCACCAGGCCTCTAGTAATTCAATAAAGTTAAAAAGGGAAAAAGTGCACAGAAAAGAAAAGGAATAGAAACAGGCTAGCAATTCACTGCAGTAATGGATGAGTCTCAAGACTAGGGGAAAGCATATTATAAGAACACCCCTGTCCTCTGTTGAAGAGGGAATGAAATGCCAACACTACTTAGCAAAAGTTCCACCTCTTCGAGTAGGAGAGGGTACTCCGTGGTGATATATAGACTCAAGTTTGTCACATTTCCCTGTCACTCAATGCCATCATTGTCTTACTAGCAGTTTACTGAAACTTATCTTTGGCCACACTCAGCATTTCCACACGTTCCTTTCCCATTGGACCTTCAGAAAACTTGCCACAATCCAGGTATCACAGCAGCCATAGGATCTCCGTGATGCCTGCTTCCCCACATCAGGGTACAGTGCTGTATTTCCACAGCTCCCAAATTTATGAGTTTTTTCTTTTAGAATTGGGTCCAAAATCTGGAGATCCTGGGTATAGGTAATGATTTGTACTTTTGGGGATGTTCCAATTTTTTTAATTCATGTTGAAATTATGTGGAAGAATTGAGATTTAATCAGTTCAGACATGATATTTGGATTTTCTGGACTTGAATTTGGTAGCCAGATTTGAGAAATTAGCTGTTTTATTCTCCTACTGGCTTCTGAGAATTTCCTTCTGCCTTCTCCGTCCCCTTTTCTAACTAACTAACTTCCTTGAATGAAATGGTTCCCCAAATTTAGGCCACAGCTCCAGATTATTTTATTTCTGTTTTTCAAGAGTGTTCATGTCTATGTGGATGCTTAGTCAACACCTCTTTTCCATATCTCTCTCTTCCTTTCCCCAAACTTCAGTCCATTGTGTACATTGGCATGGGCTATATGTCTGTGTTCCTCAAATTCAGCAGTTCTAAACTTTAACCATTTTCCCTTTCTTCAATAGAAACCACTTTTCCTTTTCTCCTTGTATGTGAATATTTACTTCATCTCTTGGTTGAAAGAATATAAAAACTATACTCTATTGGGCAGTTTTCTCTTCCTTGCTCCTCATCTAGTTAGTCACTTAAACTAGTCTATTTCTTCTGTTACAATACTTCTCCTTTGCTCTGTTCTCGCCTTCCTACTCCCACAGCCATCTTCCAGAGTGATACCCTCCTAGTCTCATGTGTTGGCCACTGTACTATCCTCCTCTGGTCTTTCTGCTTCTTGCTTCATTCTTTGCAAATCTCTCCTGATTCTTGTTGCTAGATTCTTCTTTCTAAATAACCCATGTAGTACTGCTTTCTTTTGCTCTCTAACCATGAGTTATTATGTTCGAGGGAAATTTTGATTACTAATCAAATATAAGGAGTTATTTTTGTATTGTTGAAGATCATGGGGTGTCGAATGATTAAAAATTGGCAATAAACTTTGAGGAAATCTGCTTGCCCATAATTGATCTTTTAAAACTTGGGGACAATAATACCTACTCTATAGCACTACAATGAGCTTAAATTAGAATATATACTAGTATTTATAAATTAAGTGCTTTATAAGTGTTAGTTTTTGCTTGTCTTGCATTCATTAATCTTTGCCTAAACTCTCTACATTGGCCAAACTGTTGTTGCCTCTTGGGGATATGCTTTGTATTTAGCCACCCTGCTTTTCTTCATATCTTGCTCTTGAATAACCTCTTTTCTTTCCCTCTTTCCCTATCTTAGAAATCTCTGCTCCTCTTTCAACCAACAATAATCCGACCTTTTCCAGAAGGTCATTTACTGAGAGTCCACTCACTTTCTAGGCTCTGGGATTATAAAGACCATGAGGGTTCGTTTCTGTCCTCAAGGAGGTTAGAGTGAAGTTGAGGATCCAGAAGTAAACAGGTCACTAAGTACAGAGTGAGAGATTTGGGGGCTGTGGAAATATAGCAGTGTACCTTGATGTGGGGAAGCAGGGATCATGGAGTTCCCATGGCAGCTGTGATACCTGGATTGTGGCAGTTTTTCTGAAGGTATGATGGGAAAGGAACATGTGGACATGCTAAGTGTGGCCAAAGATAAGATTCAGTAAACTGCTAGTGAGATGTTGATGGCATTGAGTGATGGAGATGTGACAACTTTGAAGCTATTGAGGAATTAGTGGCTGACTAATGTTGGTGAAAAGAGAGTAGGAGTGTTGGTGGCCTCCCAGATGCTTGATGCTAGGGAGAGGAGGAGGAGCACATGAAGGGATTGTTGATTTCAGAACGTCTATGTAGTATCCATGTGGAGATGTCTACTAGATCATTGAAGATACAGGTCTGGAACCTGGGGAAGTGCTCCTGACTGGTGATGTAAATTTAAGGTCAACAGAAGATCCGTGATAGACATCAGTGGTTAGAGAGTTGGGAGGATGTTATGTGATTCTAGAAGAGAATTTAAGAAATGAGAAGTTGTGACCAGCTTTATGCTGCAGGGAAGTGAGGTAACACAGGAAAGTGAAGTGCCTTAGGATGGGATTCAGTAACAAAGAGATCATTGGTCATCTTTGCCAGGGCTGCATGTGTTGTGTTGTGGTGGTGGTGGCGGGAGAGGGAAGCAGGGCCTAAGCAGAGGGCTGATGACTGAGGGTTGAGTAGTACTTGTGAGGTGAGGAGGTAAGGGAGCGATTTCAGTTATTTCTACAAAACATGCTTGTGATAGGAAGGGAAGATAGAGGGTGGGAGGTGGAAAAACAGATATAGGACCTATGGAAGATTTTAATAAGCTTCTCGTTTTAATGCCTTGCATTTAAAATGATGCTTTCCTAGCTTGGCTTTAAATAAAAATCCTTCCCTTATTCCTAGCCAAGCCTGGCAGCAGTGAGGTGGAGCACGGGCCTCCAGTCCCAGCTCTCTGACTGTCCAGTTCGTCATATATGATATGATAATATGTCCATTACGAGACGATTTAAGGTTAAAATGAAAGTATGTACAAAGCAACTGCATACTTCCTCAGGGTAGGGGCTAAGTCTAGTAAGTTCCTGTTGCATATGCTAGGTTCACAATAGAATTTTATTTGGTGATTGATGGGTTGGACACAGGCCGAAATGAGTTCTTGTCACCTTGTTTATGCTGAGACTGTCCTGTGGTTTGTGGCCTCAGCCGCCCTGTGAGGAGCCACTTGACTGACCTTTTTGCTCAAACAGCCAGCCCTTCAAGTTGTCTCTGAGCCTCATCAGCCTGCTGCCTTTTTCTACCATCAGCACCTAAGCTCCAGACTCCCTGTGCGGTTTACTGCCGAGCAGCTGTGCGCCTCTGCATGTCCCAGCACCTGCAGGATGTCGCAATGAGGATTGCTTCAGCAGTAGCAATGGGCTTGGTTCCAGGACCTCATTCATGGGTGGGAAGCCTGTCCTGCCACCTACTGCTCCCCCAGCCGAGGGCTGATGAAACCGCCCAAGAATGTGAAGTCTGCGGTAGGCCCAGGTCTCACAGTCATTCCTGAGGTTAGATGGGATCCGTGCTTACAGAACTTCTGGCTGGTTTTGTATTTGTTTTTTCCCCAGTCACTCATTGATATCATCCTTTGACTATTTTATTAACTGTGTTGCTATGTTGTTGGTTGTAAGGTGATTCTATAAGTGAGGATGGTGGAAAAGGATTAACGTGTTCTCTGTGTTTCCTTTAACTTAGACCTTGAACTTGGTACTTGATGTCTCATGTAATCCTCAGAGCAGTTCTGTGACTTAGGTGTTTTAGGACCCCCATCCCAGGTGGAAAGATCTGAGGTTCACACATTTTAATTAACTTGCCCTGAATCACATAGGGAGTAATGGAGAGAGTCACAATTCATAACAGATCTGATTGAAGCTGAATATGCAGTTCTTTCTTATACTGCCCTGGAGTAAAAATAGCAATTCAGGGGGTTGATCTTGGACACCAGGAAGTAGGAGGGGGGAATATAGGGCAGAGGTGGGATTTGTTTTTCTGTTAGGCTTGCAAAGGAACTGCTGATCTTTTAAACTGGAGATCTAGTTTTGTTTGGGCAGAACAACGTTGAAACATAAGGAAATTTCACATAAGAATTTAGATTTGAATCCTGTCTTAAGAAAGGAGATGTTCAGGCACCGAGCATGCGCAGCACAGTAGTGCCAGCTGCCTCGTGTCCTCGCTCACCAGCCCACAGACGCGCTCCATGAGGTCCTGAGCCTCGTCACTCCCAGCATTACCTGCCTGCCCACCTCCTCTTAATTTTGCAAACCTTGCTTCATTTATCACTTAATCTTGTGTGATGACATTTGACCTATATAGATCATCAGATGTTCTCCTTGTTATAGATACATCTTTCTTCCTCTTCCTCTACCCCCTTCACCAACTTCTGATTTTTCTTGCTTTAGTGACCATCACTTAACACTCTTTACAAATGATTTTTATGGTACCCCTTAGCACCGCCACTCCCCCCTTTCCCCCCCCGCCCACACACACATATAGTGGCAGGAGATCTTGTTTAGGTCATACCTGATAATTAATTGTCATAGTTGAGCGTTTTATTTTTCCATGGCCAGCCCACTGCTGGGGCCTTTAAGTGCAAACCCTACTGGTTGTATTGCTCACTGCTCTTAAGGTTGGGAGAACTGAGCCAGGAAAATTTGGTCAGTGTGTGGAAGAGGGGCTTGAATCCAGGGTGCCCTATGCCCCAAGCTCTGCTGTTCCCCTGAAAGGGCAATGCAAAGACTAGGGCTACTGAACTGTGACCTTGGGCATACAACCTTGCTCCCTCTGCTTCCTGGGTCCCATCTCAGCATGGCTGGGGAGCCACTGTGCTGTGGGGCAAGCTCCCTTCTCAGCAGGAAGAGCCACAGGTGTGCTGGCCAGGCCATAGCAATGCCTTCATGCTCCCTGGCTTCACAATATCTCATTGCCCTTCAAGGTCTGAAAGCTCCATTATCCAGAGATAAATGCCAGTGAAATGCTTGTTCCCTCCATGCAGGGGTCATGGTTTTTGGACTGGTGGTGGTGGTGATAGCCTCGATAGCCTTGTAATTTAATGACCTCTCTTGTTTGTTCTTTACTT